ATCAGCCAACCAGAAAATGAAGGTCTCTCTCTCTCTCTCTCTCTCTCTCTCTCTCTCTCTCTCTCTCTCTCTCTCTCTCTCTCTCTCTCTCTCTCTCTCCAGATATTTGTTGTGCTATATTGAGTCAACCCTAATCAACAACTCTCCCTCCCTCCCACACCTGACACCACTACCACCCCTTTCTCCATCACCCACACCCCCACACCTGCCCACTACCCGTCTACATCATCCTCCCTACCCTCACCTTCCCACTACCCGTCTACATTACCGTCCCTACCCACTACCCGTCTACATCACCCTCCCCTACCCTCACCTACCCGTCTACATTACCGTCCCTACCCACTACCCGTGCATCACCCCTACCCAACACCTGCCCACTACCCGTCTACATCACCCTCCCTACCCATACCTGCCCACTACCCGTCTACATCACCCTCCCTACCCACAACCCATCTACACCACCCTCCCTACCCACACCTGCCCACTATCCGTCTACACCACCCTCCCTACCCACACCTGCCCACTACCTGTCAACGCTATCACTCCATCTACTGTACATCTTCCATCAGCGTGTCGTAACCACGAGAGAGGAACCTTTACGCATTTACGCCGCAATTGTTGCGAGACGCGAGGCTGCAGGGGAGGGCACAACAGACGGCCTGGTCATGGCGCAGGTGTGGGCGCATTCCGGGCGTGCCATGGCTAGTGTGGAGGGCGCGGCACTCATCCCCCCACCCCCCTCTGTGCACCTACGACTCTACACACACACACACACACACACACGTCACCTGGCCAATGAATCATCTCACACATACACACGGTGACACTCAACACTCACAAGGTGGCACTCAACACTCACAAGGTGGCACTCAACACTCACAAGGTGGCACTCAACACTCACAAGGTGGCACTCAACACTCACAGGATGGCACTCAACATTCGTAGAAGCACGCAACACTCACAAAGTGGCATTAAACATTTATAGAGGCACTCAACACTCACAAAGTGGCATTAAGCATTTACAGAGGCACTCAACACTCACAAGACGGCACTCAACATTCGTAGAGGCACTCAACATTTGTAAAGGCACTCAATACTGCCAGTGGTACTCAACACAAGGTGGCACTCAACTTACAGTGGTACACATTACAAGGTGGCCCTCGACACTACTCCCATGTTCACCAAACGCGTCGAAGAGAACAATCTATAACAGAGTCTGTCGGTCGCCTCGGTCATGACTTCACTTCGTCTCACCTGTATACACCAGCGACCTGCTCAGGTGATCCTCAAAGACGATCACACAGGATGCTGGGGACGGTAGCTTCGCCTCCTCCGACGGCCCTGAATTCCGGTGATTCCAGAGGGTGATGGAGGTTAGGTGGGGGGGGGTCAGAGGGAGGTGAGGAGTGATGTCTGAGGGAGGTGAGGAGTGATGTCTGAGGGAGGTGAGGGTGGGGGATGTCTGGTGGAGGTGGCAGGTCGATGGGAAATATTTATATCCCTCGCTGTCTGTTCGTCACCAACACCTAATACATGAAACGTAATGTACAAGTCTAACAAACATTAATAGTTCCTCTATAATAACACCTTGGTTCACCTGACATAGCTACAGTGTATGGTATTATTTCAGCAACTTTTCACAAACGAGGAATGTATAAACCAATTATGGGTATAATTTAACGAGAAAATTGCAGACGATTATTTTTGGCGGGCAGAGAGGATTAGATATTTTGGCGGGACGGGAGTGGCGCGTCAGCTGCTGCGTCCGGTGTGGCCTCTAGCGGGGACATTAAGAAACCCATCATTTCTGGGGAATCTGCTGCCCCGGAGGAAGTACGGCATTACACGCTGGGGCCGTGATACCTCCTCCTGCTGCTGGTGGTGGTGGTAGTTGATGCTGGTGGTACCGGGTAGAACTGATGGTGGTGCTCGCTGGCAGTGGTGGTACTAATATGATAAGAGGCGACGGCGATGGTGGTACACGCCCCTCACCGCCCACCCTCATCCGACACATTCCTGCGGGCGATGTGGTAGTGTGGCTCCATGTCCTTCCCTCCCCACACTGCCACACAGTGTGGTTTAGGAAGAGGATGTATAGTTAGGAAATAGGAAAACAAAAATAAAGAGGGAGGTAATTGTTGTCCTTACTACTGACCAATTAAGCTGAGTACAGTATGTTGATGTATGGGAATTTATAATCTCCGATAAGATACTTTTTTGAGTATGTTTACATGCATAAAAATACTAAAACAGAGACTAGGATAGTTTAAAGAAATTAAAGAGTCGAGGTCCCCGGAGAGTTGCAAAATCAGTGACACCCAGAAAACATTTAAAGTGGAAAGCCATGGCCGTCAACCCTCAGACATGAAGATGGCACCTTGATTGACTAAACGTTCAGACACAAGGGGAATCTATAAAATTCAGTAGGTGTGTAATTAGTGTACATGTGTAGAGTTGGTTGTACTTCAGTGATATTAACGTGTGTTGTGTTTGGTTGCAGCTGGACCTGTGTACCCTGAGATCGACGAGCACTTCCGGCGGAGTCTGGGCAAGGACTACCAGCAACTGTTCGCCGCCACAGCTCCTAAGCCCTCGCCCTCTACTGACTCAGGTAACTAATTCCAGCCCTCGCTGTATTCCAGGAACTGCACTTGTGTTATGTCTAGAATAATGGCGTCACCTCTGTGATGCTGCCACCGTGTGGTTATTACGGTAACTGTACCTTATACACACAATAATATGATTATTATAGTACTGGTGTTAATGAGTAATCTTTGACTGACAGTGTAGCGTCGTCTTCACCTTCCGTGCCACCAGTCCTCACTTTAATTACCTGGTACTCGTCGTCCGGTCTTACAACACGCTCCACCTTCGCCTTGAGTGAGTGTAACAGTACAGTAAGAGACTCCCTGCCTCGTTTTCGTTACCCTCAACTGATGACGTCACGCCTCTTAAACTCCTCCTGCCCTGTCTTTCTTTCTTTCTTTCTTTCTCAACAACCAATGGCCCGCATCGCTGGCGTGTCGCCGCTGCCTGAAAGCTCTCGAATTCCTGGTGGACTAGAGATGTTTTTGTCGGGCTCAGGGAGGATCCTGGAGAAGATCCGTGGGCGCAGCTTCACACGGTGTGGCCGCCCCTCTGAGCGGGCCATCATCCGCTCAAAGAGTTGCTGCGATACCGCCACCCACTTACACTGTCATTCCGGCTCCGGTATCTGTAAACACCCGCTGGTACGCCCTCAATCTGTGCAACTTGCTGTGTGAACACCAGCCAGTACACGGCTTAGTGCCAGTGTTACTCTTGCTCCATGTGTGTTTGTTTACGTGTGTGTGTGTGTGTGTGTGTGTGTGTGTGTGTGTGTGTGTGTGTGTGTGTGTGTGTGTGTGTGTGTGTGAACGCTTTTTGTTGGCCACCCTCCCTCGCATCAGAATTCTGGGCATTTTAAATTAGCATAATCTATCGCAATAAATATGTAAATTTCCAAAGCCTTTGTGACAGAAGATTCATTCAACCCCCAAGTTATCATAAAACGATGTGCTGGTGGTGTGTGTGGAGGCTTCACTAACAGCTGACGACCAAACCCTCCCAGTGTTGCTCCCGTGAACAGTATCCTCACTCAGTACTGCCTTTGTCGTGCATCAGTCTGGGAGTTTACGAGGCAGAACAGATCACTATGAGTGCAAATTAGGAAGATTTATACTCGAGTGAGTGTGAGTTGTGGAGCGTGAGAGATGAGGGAAGTGTACCTCACCTCCCCCCACCGCCTACCACTCCACACACACACACACACACACACAGTGACGCCCACAAGGTAACAGTATCACAGTATGGTGCCTAAACTTGTGATTATTGTGTGTGTCTGGGTCGGGTCTCCCCCAGTCTCTTGTGAAATCAGCGATGCTTAGAATATGTAGGCGGGGGCGTCTGTGCTCAGCGGATGTCTTCAGGTTGTCTAGTGGGCGTATGGGGTGGGTGGATAGGCGTGTTTTGCGGTGGATGGGCGTTGGTTTTTATGTCAGGCGAGTCCTGTGATGATGGGCGTTTTTCTGTAATGTCAAGTAGCCGCTGGCCGTGTTCCTCTTGTGGGCGTCTCGTGTGTATAGGAAGGACGTGGGGGTGTAGTGTGGTGTGGTGTGAGGACATGGGGGGTGGTGTGGTAGGAGGACATGGGGGGTGGTGTGGTGGGAGGATGTGGTGGTGGTGTGGTTGGAGGATGTGGGGGTGGTGTGGTTGGAGGACGTGTGGTGTGGTAGGACACAGGGGTGGTGTGGTAGGAGGACACAGGGGTGGTGTGGTATGGTAGGAGGACACGGGGTTGGTGTGGTAGGAGGGACACAGGGGGGTGGTGTGGTGTGGTAGAGGACGTGGGGAGTGGGGAGGGTGGTGTGGTGTGGTTGGAGGACGTGGGGAGGGTGATATCTTCCCTCACAAGGTCAGCCAGCTGCTTGGAGTTCAACACCAAGAAGAAGTGTTACCAAAAAAAATAATAATAATAATAATATTTATACTAGTCGTTTTCTAATCAGTTTCTCCACATTTTTTTACGGTAAATGTAAAAAAAAATAACGTACAACACTGACACTGTAAATAATAATAATAATAATAATAATAATAATAATAATAATAATAATAATAATAATAATAATAATAAACGTATTACTGAAAACACTATTTTTTCTTTTTTCTTTTTAGAATATTTGATTACAACACAGTACAAGAGTGTCACAGGAGGGGTGCCAAGGGGATGAGGGGTGTCAGGGGGAGGGGATGACGGGTAGGGGGAGAGATCAGAGATGTCAGGAGGGGAGGGAGTAAGGGGGTGTCAGAAGGAAGGATGGCAGGGGGGAGGGTGTGAGGGGAGAGGAAAGGCAGTAGATCGGATGGGGGTGAGAGATGAAGTGAGTGAGTGAGTTAGTGGTGAGTGAGGAGGTGAGCGAGTCGTGAGTAGAGTGAGTGAGTGAGTGAGTGGTTAGAGTTATAATAAGACGAAACAGAGCACAACTACATTTACACGATTAAAAATAGATCGTGTGAGGCATAAACTCCAGATGAGGCGATAAGAGACAATTAGCATGCCGGGGAAGGGGTGGAGGAGGAGAATTGGGATAGGAGAGGAGAAGAAGCAGGGGGAGGTGGGGGAAGAGGAAGAAGCAAGAGGAAAGGGAAGATGGGGGGAGGAGGAGGAGGAGTTATAATGGGAGGGTTTGGGAGGTGGTGTACCAGTAAGTCCATGGTGGGGAGGGGAGGGAGTGTATGCCGCCCCCTCCTCCTTTGCTGGTCCTCCACGCTCTGATGGGTCACTCAGATAGAGACCCTCCAGCCCCGGCCACCACCCACTCTTAGTTATCTCGCTCACTGATAACCACGACCTCTCTCTCTCTCTCTCTCTCTCTCTCTCTCTCTCTCCTGGTGTTTCACTTTTGTCGTTGTGTCGGGAAGAAGAACCCACTAGCGACCACCACCTAAACCTGACCTAAGCATAACCTTACCTAACTTAACCCAACTCAACTCAATCTAACGTAACTCAACCTAACCCAACTTAAAATTAATTTAACCCAACTTAAAATTAACTTAACCCAACTTAAAATTAACTTAACCTTTCATAATATCTTCATTACTAGCAATAATGTAATCGACTTCAGATCCTTTTAATATCGTTAACGCGAGTCTTCGGTGTCAGTCCTAAGTTCCTCAAATTAACTCCAGTTTTTTATTTCTTTACCTAAATTCTCGCAGGATTCGACCCCGAGCTCCTTCTTGTTGGTGGAATCGATCTGAGGTTCTTCAAATTTGCTTACGTGTCTCTCTCTGCCTTCACGTGTTTGAGCTCTCGTGTTGTGGTAGGAAGCCAGTGACTGTACACGGGTAAATGTCAACACCTTCCTTGGGGGGGAACATCCTGCCTCACCTCAACACTCGTCACTCCTTAGCAAAGACTATTGGGATGACCTGAACATTAGCCCCCCCACCCCCATAGCTTATTTCACTTTAAGATTAACGATCCTAACGCTAACCTAACCTAACACCCCTCTCCCTAAACAAAGTACTGTTAAGGTGCTTAATTATCAGGTGAACTGAGCAGGAGAGTCTTCAAGTGATTCAGCTATTGAATTTACATTTCAAAAACTTAATTTTAAGTCGCCATTGAGATGGAATCCTCTAAACCATTTTAAGACATTTTATGATAGTTGATAATGTAATAAGAAACATCTCATATATTCAGGTCAAATCGTGAGGAATGGAAACAGTATTTGTACTCATTATGTTATAGGCGTGAGTAAGGTAGTAACACGTGTTGCAAGTTGGGTAGAGCAGCTGGCGGCAGTAGGAGGAGGAGTTGATTACATACATACCACTTACACAATTGCCAAATAGACGATTGACGCAAAAACTAACCACATCGCGGTAAATGGGATGATAAAAATCGTATAAAACAGACAACCATCCTGATGGGAATCGTCCATTGAGTTGACACCGAGGAGGAGAAGAGAGGCGGGCAGCAGAGGTCCATGTGTGTACTTAGTTGTCGTTGGCAGAGGGCGGCTGGGTTACAAGTGTGTTGCTTGGTACACCCGCGCATAATGATACCTGCTCTGGGTGTAGCTCTGCCATTCACTGCTGAGAGTCACCCCTACAACACCTCAAGGACCATCACACTTTACATCGCCAGGTGAGGGTGTGAGTCAGTAGCTACCACACCGCGCATCTCCCTCCCGCTAATTACCACGATTTATTTTTTATTTTGTTTTTATTCCCGGGAGAAATATTTATGAAGTGGCAAATAGCATGAGCGACGCGGTTCATGCCTGAGACATTCTTGGCATCATCACTGCTCAGCCCTCTCCCAGTAAGTAAACCTGCCTCCCTTAGTAGCGGGGATTTCCGACTTTTAGAGGCGGTAGTGCGTCAGAGGGAGAGAGGGGGGAAGGGGAGAGAAGGAAGAAGGGAGAGAAGGAAGAAGGGAGAGAAGGAAGGGGGGGGGAAGAAAGGTGATGAAAGACGAAGGTAGCGAGGAAGGGGGGAGGAAGAATGATGAAGAAGTCAGTAGTACCACGTTAGAAACACAGCTTCTTGTCCGATCAGCGAAGTTAAGCAACGTTGGGTCTGATTAGCACTTGGATGGGTGACCGCCTGGCCCTAATAACACCAGGACTCGACAGGAAACAGACATCTCTTGTCTTTGTCAGCTGTCCTTGGTCAAATTCACTGAATGTCTATTATTATTAAAAGAACGAAAGAAGAAAGACACTCTTCACCCCAGGCTTGTTTTTTTTTATTATTATTATAGTTATTATTATTATTATTATTAAGGGCCGCCGTCTCCTCGAAAGTGATGGCCCCCATATGAGTACACACGGGGTCTTGGCGAGGCTCACTAAGCAGGCTAACACAGTAATGACACCCAGGTCAGGAATGTCGAGCTCTACTTCACATCCTCACCCGTTTATGTACACTGAGAGACACCACCAACTTTAAACACCCACTGAGAGATAACAGGGGTGGAGGAGAGACAGAGAGAGAAATAGAGTAAGAGAGGGGGAGGGTGTTGGTGGAGAGAGAGGAGAGGGGGTTGAGTGGAGAGGGTGTTGGTGGAGAGAGGAGATGTTGGTG